ATATATATAAAAGAACTTTTCAGAGTTCTTTCACTCTTCTGAGGCACTGGATCATGAAGTTGAATATGTAGTTGTAGGTATTGGTGTAGACCTCCATTTTGTGTTGACCTCAGAGGAGCGTGCCCCCCACACTCCTGGCATCTCACTCACGTCACGAAGGCTCCACTTGGGCTTGGCTGTCCTCTCAGCCCTGTTTTTGTTGCAGGCCTGGGAACTAGTTTCCTCCTTCTTTTACAAAATCCTGCCTTTATGGTGGAGTTCATGGTTTTCTATTTAAACTGCTCATATGTGGAGGCACTGCCTTGTTCTCTCTTCTTCAGGTGTATGTTTCTTAGCTAACTCCATAGCAGAATGGTATTTTTGTGCCTTTGGATTTCACTTGGTCTGCTCCACTGGTGAGAACTCCACAAAAGAGATCAGCATTACAGACACCTCTGTTTTCTGAAGTGATATAGCCTGATTTGAGGGTGTCTGTGACGTTTCCTAACCATTGGGAGCCATTAGAGAGTGAAACAAATCAAATCAACAGAATTACAATACCAGAGGTGCAGTTATTAAATTTCTGTGTATTTATTGGTCTGACCAGACTATCAGACATACAATAGTCTTCACAGTATGTTCTCCTGAGACCTACTTAGGTTTACTGAGTTATGTAGAGACTGTTGCCTCACAGTAATCCTCAACACAGCAGTGCAGTTGGTACCAGTATTTGTTTATACAGTTAGTTGTGCCTTCTTTTTCTTCACACAAGAATATACAGCTCTTTCTCCAGAAAGCTCATAGTCTTCTGGTCAAACTGTATGCATGGCTGAAACTGCTGGGGATTTACCATGCATGTGATGATGACAGAGAGAAGGTACGAGAACCCTCCGAGGTTTGTCTTTCAAGGTCTCAGTTGTGATACTAAAGTTTTCCAGTGTAAGGAGAAGCAGAGGGATCTCTGTAAGCCAGTCCTATAGTGGGGTCTATTTGATAATTTGAAGAGGTCATGATGGAGGAAGTAGCTGATTTAGGGCTATTTTAAAGATGGGTTGAATGGAGTGAACATTTTCTGCTTTACCACTTCCCAGAAAATCCTGCACTAGGAATATGGGATATGGTTGAGTGAAGGAAGATTATAATGGGGTGACGAGGAAGAGTATTGAAATATTGGCTGCTGTTTTCTTGTACGTGCATCAAGCTCAATTGTTTAGCGGATGGCTACATAAATTATTTTTTATAGTGGAAGATACTACTTCTACTGTGTTAAAGTATTTTCCTCCAGAAACTGAGATTATTTGTGCTTGGGTCTTTGCTGTCTTTGTACTTTTTGTTTGTTTTGTTGTGTTACTTTTTGGGCAAAACTTGAAACAATTCAATATGATGTTCTCCTTCTAAGACTTTACTCATTGGAATGGCTTGAGGTCCCTGCTCCCTAGGAAGGGGGAGATGAATCTTTTCCAAGAAGAAATAGGATAACAAAACAGATGCTGCCTTTTGTAAGCCTCTGTTAATATCTGAACAATCACATACGTGATCAATTAGTCATTTGGTTTTTTGCTGTAATCTGTTTTGATGGGGAACTGCAAGAATTTATAAGCTTTGACAGTCTTGGATCTTTCTATTAAAAGGGAATAGATGTTTTAGAGATGCTTTAAAACAGTACAGAAATGGACATGGCTCTTTCTCTGGGATTGGAGGCATTGGGGAAGGGCAGGGATTTGCATTCCATGATGGCGTTCAACAAACTAAAGGAAATCCAAAGGCAGTTCCCCTCTGTTGGGACATCCAACCCTCTCGCTGCACCTTTGCTAACATTACTAACGCCCATGTTGGCAGAGTGGAACATTGACCCGCGTTGGCTCCGTGAGCGTCCTGTGGTGTCTGTGCGTGCGTGTGCGTGTGTGCTCTACTGCATGGGGGCAGCAGCTCCATTCGTTGCTGTAACAAATGTAAAAAAACTAAACGTGAATTAATTAGTTTTTTTCAACTTGTTACAGCAGCGAATGGAGCTGCCGCGGTACGGTGTAGACTGCAACACAGTGAAGGAGCTGCCAGAAGAATGCTCCGCACTGCCAACATTGGTGTCTGTGACATCCGGGAAGCGGCCGCTAGAGAGCGAGCAGCCAGCACAGCGGGAAACCGGCCTCTCTTTTATTTTCGTTTTGGTGAGCACAATGAATGTATCTTTTCCAGTCCATATCTGTCTGTAACTGTGTCTCATCTGGAAGCCTCTGGTAGACACCTACATCAGTATGGTAGACTAGGAGCGGCCAGTGACAAAGGAGGACAACCCAAGGACATCTGGAAGACCATTACTGATTTTTATCTGGCTAAGAGCGAAGTGATGGGAAGGGAGAAGGAATAGTCCTTCTTAGTAACATTTGAACATGTTAGCGTCTCTCCAGCTCCCATACTGTGGACACTTCGGAGGAGGTTTCTACAATAGGCTGGCGAAACACAGGAAGGCATGTGTTTCTAATTCTCTTTTTGGCACTGCCTTTTTACAGAGGACTGGACAGGTCCAAGCCCACCAGAATCCAGAGGAAGCTGTAAAAATCTAAGCACCCCTAATTCTGTGCTATTTTCAAGCAAAGATCTCTGCCTGAGCTCTGCTCACATCCAAACCATTCAGAAGCAGACTGACTTTTAGGAACAGACATTAGGTTGATAGAGCAGACTGGAGGAAGAACATTCTGCAGGGGTATGTGTCTGCAGTGTGGAGCAGCAAGGCATGACCCCAGCCATGCCTGCATAGCTCTGCTCTTCAGCAGATATCTATCCTGCCTTCTGGGGGTAACCTGTGGCTGGTGACAGGCAGTCTGCTCCTACTTTCTGGGTTTGTAGAAAGGCTGCAGCCCCTCAAGACACCAGATTTTCTCTTGCCAACCATGTGGACACATAGAAGACGTACTCTTGCTTGTGTGCTTGTCCACGCTCCCAGAAGGTGGTTCAAACATGATGTAAGAGGTGACTAGAGGAAAGATAAGGTTTGCAGTTCTGTCAGGACAAGAAATGCCTGTAAAAAGATGATCCCTTTGAGAAATACTTCCCTTCTCATTTTCAAACCAATTTTTGTAATGCTGTGGAGGAGGTCCATATTGGATTCTGATTGTGTTGTTTGTATTTCTTCTCTTAGGTGGGGCTGCTGTAAGTCAGGTTCCCTCAGTCTGATCTGATTAACTTCCTCTGCCCAAGATTCTAGCAAAATGGGAATGATTAAATTTAAATTACAATTTCAGTGTTAACAGAATTAATGATATAAAATCATATAAGTGCTAAATGTAGGCAGTAGAGGGGTTGGCTATACACATCTATAAACATGCATAAATATATGGTCTTTTTGTTGTGCTCATTGGGGTGCTGCGTTTTAGAAAGCGAGAGCTGTTACTTTTCAGGAATGGGATTAAAGAAGGGTGAAGCTGGGCAACCATCTGGTTGATACTCTACCGGGTGATGTGGGAGTTCACTCTTAGACTCCCTATTTTTAACAAGTCAGTCACAGAGAGTATATTGTCACATATGCTGTGCAGCAAACATGCAGTGAGTCTGGCACACGGCATCTGCAGGTTGACTCTGCAGTGCATGCACAATAGGTCGGACGGATCCAGATGCTGCACAGACTGCATGCATGCAAAGGACATTTGTACTGCTCCAGCTGGGCTGTCAAACATCCAGAAATCCGAAATGTATATGCTGCATTTGGCAGTGTTAATGGGAGAAGGGATAGGGGGAGCCCCCTTTTTCTTTCCCGTTAAATCTCCACCTGCTTTAACTTAGAGAAAAGTACAGCTTTGTTTCCTCAAAACGCTTTCTCAGGATGTCGATTTGTAGCTGGAGTTGTTCAGTGCGCAGAGTAGTTTTTCTTTTCTTAGCGTGCCCCTATGTCAGACATCTAAAAATAATAGTGAATCCAGACCTTTATATCTACACGTATATCCCAATCTCTCTTGTGCTGTCACCTTTCTCTTACTGCCTCTGTAGAGAAGCACTGACAGCCAAAAGCTGAACGAATAACCACTTAAACAGTCGTTTATTTCAGAATATCTTTCTGAAGATTGTCTTGATTAGATCAGCCAGTTCTGGGTAAGATAACGTGTGGACAGCTGCATGCATGCTATTAAGAGAAACCCTCCCTAGAAGAAAAATAACTAAATTACCTGCATCCCCCATAAGCTGTGGTTTTACCCAATTTGCTTCCAGTCTTTTGCCAGGAAATTTGATTATTCATTCACAGAACAGAAACGATGTTGTTATCAATTAAACTTTGCTTCTAACAGCTTAGACATGGGTGGTTCATTCTCTCTTAATCAAGTGCTGTGTCTACACTAGATTACTTTCTGTAATTTCCCACCACTGGTACCACCAGTGTAACTCTATTTGTAGCGTAACCATGTAGATCAATCACCAGTGCTTTGTTTATTATGGTTAATAAACCTGTGAGATGCGGTGTTTAAAAGGCACCTGCTGCTTCTTTCACAGGCCTAGAGACAGATCACTGCATGTCCTGCTGCTGGAGCCCCAACAGCACCAGCACGGGGAGATTGCGAGCTACGCAGTGCAGAGAAGATAATGCATTCACACAGAAGATCCCTTTACCTTACAAAGAAACACTTTTCTGTAGAATTACAGGATCCAATTTCCATAACCTCTGTTATTAACGTGGCACATATATTTATATATATCTGTAATGTGTGCATACATTTGCATACTTTTCTATGTGTATGTGTGCATACATTTGCTTTCAACTATTCCTGCT